AAGTCCAGGATAGTGTCTTTGGCTTCAGGCTGGGCTGGACCCAGTAGCTCAAAAGACGAAAGTCAGAAATCTGTGGTGTTTCCTTTCAGTGCTGGCTTTCGCCTGCACTGGCTTCATTTTCAAGCAGTTGGGTTCATTCTTGTGGATGGAAGATGGAAGAGCTCCCAACTTTGCTCTCCTGGCAGAAAGGACACACCTCTATAGCTCCTGAAGTCCTGTAGGTGCAACAAAAATCTGAGGTAGTTAGATTTTATCAGGTCAGCTTGGTTCACCTGCATGTCCCTGGAGTGAGGGTCTTAGGTTGAATCACTGAGACGGGGGGAGGGGATGTTTCTCACAGGAAAAGCAGGTGGGGCTGGGCTGTTGGCAGAAGACGGGACTGATGCTACCTGAAAACAACAGAGGCCCGTCCTTACTCTCCTAGACCGTGTTCTCTCAGGAAGAAGTGGACAGTCTCCCACTTCAAAAGGTTTTGGGAAAATGAAATAAGTTGATGTCTGGGCGGGCAGATGCTCCCAGGGCTCCACCCACAGTCCAACAGCTCTTACCGTTTCCAAGTATGAGGCCCCAGAGTCTAACACCAGCCTCTGCATCCCTTTGCCTGAGAACCTTCTCTGACTGCCAGACCTCCCTCTGCCCATGCATGCCACAGGCTGGATGTGCTGGGGGGGAGGGTGTGGTTAACAACAGCTGGGAGCAGCCTTCAGCTGCTCAGCCCCCTCACCCCTTGAATGGGGTAACTCTGAAATGTGCCCCCTGGAGGTTCTCAGATAGGATTAAGCTCCAGTTGCCCACAGGTACACCCTTTAATCCTTCCTTCACTTCTCACTTCTCCTACCCACGTTTCCTAGGATGCCCTCCCAGATAAACATCGTGTACTTGAATGCACTTCCCTTTGGTCAGGAAAGCCCAAAGTAAGACTGTCCTACGTTTAACATCGTTCCTGCCGCATTACCAGCATTCTATACACATTTGTTGTTACCACTGTCCTAGTTATTTGGAGGTTCACTTTCTGCTGCAGTTTGGTTTTGCATGAACCGCTGCATCCTTCTTCCTGCCCTCATCGTTCTGCATTTCCCACGGAGTCTCCCTTTCTCTCTCATGTTATACCATCCCTCTGCCCTCTCAACTTTTCCTCGTCTATTTCCTAATTTTAATCTCTCCCCAGGGTAATTATAATTTTGATGAGTGAATGTAAGTTTTAAAACAATTACAGAGAAAATTGGCAACTAACACAATTGGTAGACCAAACAACATGTGTTGAGACTGTCCACTTCATGAAGGTAGGAATGATGTTGGTTTTCACTGTGCCTGGAATTAACACATGAGTTTGGATTCAGAGGGCTTTTTAAAAATAAGACAGATTAGCAGACTTTATTTTAATAAAGGAAAAGACTGAGTGAAATCTACTTCCTCTGTACATTACATCTGCTTCCCATCTGCAGTTTTCGCCAAAATGATCATTTTTTTTATCCACATCCACAACAATTTGGCCTCCTGCATCTGCAGAGCGGAGCAACCGTTCACTAAATGATACCCTAGTGGTATGAGAGTGTTAATGCATCTCATTTATAAACAAGGAAAACACCCCAGCATCATCTGGACTATTAACCAATTTCCAATATGAAATTAATGCAAAAGTTATTTCTTAAGGGGAAAGTATTTACAAAGAAAGACGGATTTTCTCATTAATAGAAAGATATCAATTTAACAATCATACATTTGCAGTGTGACAAACCGTGACTTGGCAGTATGACAGAGGAATGTGTGCAGAAGAAACTTTGGTTTAAGTTGAGAGAACCCACCACAGTGGATCTGGAAATCAAATGTGCTGTGTTTCAGATCTCGGCCTTTGGCACAGCAAAGAGCTGGCAAGGTGGCTGGGGCGATCTTTTCTCAAAGAGCTTGTGGCTCCCTCAGCTTCCCAAGGGGTTGTTTCCATCTGTTCTGGGTCCCAGTGGGGGTAGAAGGGGTGGCTTGTTTTTATGTTGCTGGGAACTAGCAGACAAACGTCTATGTTACTGCGTTTCTGCCTGGTGAGAAACCTACTGAGGAACAATTCTTTCAGGGTGTCAGGGCTGCCCTGGGAGAGGACAAGCTGGGCAGAGAGGGGAGGTGTTTCATCAGAAGTCTATCCAGGTGGCCCTCCTTGGGCCTGCCCTGTTTGAAAAAGAAAGAGCTGGAGATTTGAGGGCAGCCAAATGTTTGTGGCTGGAGGCCAGACTTCATTTATACAAGTGTTCTCTGGTTTGCTGCTCAGAGGAGATTCTTTCCACCTGCTCCTGACTCTTCCTCTCCACCTCCAATGTCTGTAGGTCCTCAGCCTGCTCAGTGGATACCTGTACCTACTTTACTGTGTGTTTGGAATTGGGAGAGACTACTTTTTTAAGAGAAAAAAGTCATGAACCAGAAATCTCTGGCTCAGGACCTAGCTCTGCTATGTACTAGCTCTGGATAGGATAGGAAATTGAGTCTTTTTCCCTGAGCCTTAGTCCCTTCATCTTTAAAACAAAAATAATAATAGCTTCCTAACAGGGCTCCTAGGGCTCCCCTGGTGGCTCAGTGATAAAGAATCTGCCTGCCAATGCAGGAGACTTGGGTTTGATCCCTGGGTCAGGAAGATCCCCCGGAGTAGGAAATGGCAACCTGCCCTAGTATTCTTACCTGGAAAATCTCATGGACAGAGGAGCCTGGTGGGCTATAGTCCATGGGGTCACAAAGAGTTGGACATGACTTAGCAACTAAAGAACAACAACAACAGGGTCCCCACAAAGAGTGGATGAGCTGGTGAATGTGCAATCAACCTTTAAATGAACACATCTCATAGATGTATACATATCACAACTTTGGGCAGTTGGAGCAAACACTGACTTTGCTTTTGGGGGATGAAAGATATGGCCATGGAACAGTAGTGCTCTGATGGGCTCAGATCTTTATGTGAGAGGTAGGTGGGGGTTCCAAAGTTTGGGTTTAACTCCCACTACTTTGTAGCTGGGTGATCTTGGACAGGTTATTTAGCACATCTGAGCCTATTTCCGTATCTATGAAGTGGGTTTAGAGTCTTGATTCTTCCAGGATTGTCATGAGGAATAAATCTATTCATTCAAATAGGAAAAGGGATCACAGACACAAAATTAACTTCTCCTCGGGTGGAGGTGGGACCTGAGCCCAAACAGGGAATCATAAGTGGCTGCAGGAACAGGAGCTAAAGTGTATATGAAAAACACTTTACAGTACTCTGTAGAAAGATTATCTAAAGGACCTAATTTAGATAGGAAGACTAAGAAAGCCCAGGCATTGGGCCTAATTTTTATTTTCTAGCCCCTTTACATTTAATATGGATAAGCATGAGATTGTACAGGGCTAAAGGCAGGAGGGCATGAGGAATATTTCTCTCTTTCTCCCAGCCCAGAGCTCCAGGAAACAACAGATTGAATGATGAATGTTCTATTCAGTATCTTGCCAATATTGAATAGAAGCCCCTCTATTCAATATTGGCAAGACCAGCACTAATTTTGATAACTGAATAGACTTATTGAGGGTCTAACACTTCTTAAAAACAATTGTATTTAATGAAGCCAGGTCATTTGGCATTATTTGGATCTGAAGTTAGTACATTAAATTTTGTCCCTCAATGTTCATTCTGACGTGATTTTTTTAGGGAAAAAAAAATCTTTTCCCCCTTTATTAACATCTCTAGTGGTCAGTGTGGTTAGGTACCACTGATTTGAAACACCATTCTTCATGAACACAGGAAAGAGGATGGTAACTTTTTTTTAAAGGATCATTTGATGTTTCTTTGAAAAACATTTGATGTTTCTTTCAATCTCAGAAAAAGAAAACAAGTATTTAGCCAGAAATCGAGTCTGTTTTCTCAGTCTCTACCAGGAGCAATGCTATTTGCAAGAAAACGGAACCTGTCTTTCTAGAGAGATCCTTTTCTCTTGCTTTATTTCCCCTCTGAAATTAGGAGCCAATGTTTGTGACATCACTGGGTTGCTGTGGAAATGTTTATTTCACAGAGGATTTCGACCTCAAGTGGGGAATTTGAAAGAAGAAGTATGGAGTCTTGGAAAAACACAACTGGTTTGCATAAAAATGGGCAGCATTTTTGGAAGAAAGACTCGGAAAGAAAACAGTATAAATAACAGGTTGTTCCAAGTTTTCCTGAGAGGATTCAAACACTTGTAGGAGCACCTTACACTGATACGCCGATTTTTATTAGAATTCTACTTACTGTAAATATCTGAAAAAAGTTGAAGAGAGCAGGCTTTTTGCAGGGGGAAAAATTGGCTATTCAATTATTAAAATTGAGAGAAAGGTTTGGCTCTAAAATACCATTTTGGGGGCGGGCTTATCCGTTTACAGTTTTATAACATACAATAGACTTAAGAAAATAGCTCCATTTAAAGAACTATGACTCAAGGGGCCTGAGTTTCAATGCAGAAACTACAAAATCCTTCTGCGTTTTAAACTGTTAAATCAACAGAATGCCAAACTAGAACCTTTCTTCCTGCTGGGGCAGTATTGTCCCCTAAATCCACTTTCCAGTTCTCTCAGCCTAGCCTAGTTTGATGTAGCATTGACTTAGCTTAACTACAGCAACCGGCAAAAGGAAGTGGGTTTGCATTTGGGATGGGAGGAGGCGGCCACGGGTGTGTGTGTGTGCCTGCGTGATTGCGGGCGCGCGCGCGCGGGAGACGTGGGGCACCAGGAAAGGAAAAAAAAAAAAATCGAGACGTAGCAACTATGTGAAAATAATTTCCCCGTGGCTGTACGAGTGGTCTCTGCAAGGGAAAGCAATTTTAGGAATTAAAAATAAAAAATCTTCAAAGAGGCTGGGAGGAAGGCTGGACAGGAGGGTGCGGGGCACAGCGGGGGACATGTGCCTCCTCGCCGGCATCTTTTCTTTTCCTGTGCAGGCTTGGGGCGACCCCCTCCTTAACCACCCACCTATCCGTCGCCCCCTGCGGTCCCGGGGCCCGCGCGGCCCCGCGGGGATGGCTGGCCGCTGGCCGTGGGGGGAGCTGCGAAGGTCTGGCGGCGCGGGCTGCTTCAGGGGCCGGGGCTGTAGTACAGACTGTCCCCGGCAGCCGGCGGAGTCAGCGCGCCCACGTGACGGCCCCGGCTCTCCGGTGAGCTCCCCAAACAGACGCACACCCAGCCACACGCGCGCGCTCGCGCGCACACACACACACACACACACACACACACACGCGCGCGCACACGCCCGCCCGCTCTGCCTCTGCGCCCTCCATCCCGGCTCGCTCCTTCTCTCGCCCTCTCGCTTCCCCTGCGGTCTCTCGCTCTGCGCGCACACACCACACTCACGCACACGCACACACACGCGCGCACACACGCAGCCGGCACAGGCAGCGGCGGCGGCGGCGGCGGCGGCTGCTCAAGTCAGGACGAACCTCTCTAGGTACCTTCTTGAGAAGGCGGCGGCGGCGGCGGCGGCAGCCGGAGCATCCCTCCTCCGCCGGAGAGGGAGCACCGCTGAGAGTTTCCGTTCCCTTTGCGTTCCCTTCCCCCTCCTTTTATTTTTCGAGAGAATTTCTTCTTCGCTTGTTGGTTTAATTTGATTTTGAAAATTTTTGGTTGCTTGTGTGTGTGCTTTTTTTTTTTACCACCCCCCCCTTCCTCATTTTATTTGCATCCAGAGCATGGCGGGCTGCGGGCTGTCGGAAGACACCTTCTTCTCTTCCTTCTTTTACAACTACGGCTCCTCCTGGGAAACCCCTTCCAACCAGGTAAGGGCTGGCTCGGTGCCTGGCGGCGTCGCGCCCCGTGCCCCTCGCCGCGCGCTCACTTGGCACTCGGCGGGGAGGCAGAGGCTTGGGAGGGGGTGGGGAGGCTGGGGGGCCAAGTGGGTCGCACCGTCTGGGTCAGTGCCAACCGGCTAGAGGAGGTGTCCCCCTTCCCCCAGCACTAGCTCTTTGGTCTCCAGGGTCTGTCGCGTCCCTCCCTTGTCCAATCTGCCATCCAAACCTTCCCCTTCCAACCTCCCAACCCAGCGGGAACCGGAGAGCGAGGCAGGAGCCGGCACGTTACCCCGAACAACTCCAGGCAAAACCAGGGAACTCGAGCGCAACCTTCCCCAAGTCGCCGCGGGCGCCGCGCCCCTGTGCGCCCGGCGCCTGCCCGCCCTCCAGCTGCGCCGAGGGGCTGCAGAGCTGCGAGTCCCCCGCGACGTGCTGTCCCCCCTCCACTTCCCCCGGGGCCCCGAGCCACTTCTTTCCCTAAAATGGCTGCAATCTCCAGTGGAAGCGTCCCCTGACCCCGAGGAGGGGGTGCAGAGTGGATGCCCCGGTGCCCATGACCCCACGCCTCCCCCGGCGCGCACAAGCACCCCACAAACACACACACTTAACTTTGATGACTGTGCAATGCAGTCCGGCTGCATCGTGCCCTCGACGCTCCCCGCCGCCGGCCTGCAGGTGTGCTTGTCGGTGTGACTTGGGGGGCGCGGAGAAGCTGGGGGTAGACGCCGGAAGGGGGGGCGTGGAAGATGGGTGTTAGCAGGCCACGGCTAACCTGGAGAGACAGTCGTGTGCTCAGGGTCTAGGGGTGCAAAAGCTATTCTGGGAGCCAGAGCGAGAAAGAGAGAGGGGGAAAAATGTCTTTTAATTAAATAACTGTTGTAGTCTGCTGCCCCCACCGCTTGTTTGGTGAAAGTCTACAGGCATCTGTCATTTCCAAACTACATGGGGAAGTGGAGCTGGAGTCGAGGAAGGGGAGAGGGTGTGTGTGTGTGTGTGTGTGTGTGTGTGTGTCTGTCTGTCTGTCTGTCTGTCTGTGTGTACGCGCATGAGTCCAGGCTGGGGAAAGTTAGGGCGGGAGGCGAGGTGAAGGAGCAACGGCGAAAGGCAGCAGCAACTCGGTGGGCGGTCCGGGACGCGGGGGATCCCCGGGCCAGCAGAGCGAGAGCTGCCGGTGGAGCCGGCCGGAGGGGCGGGTGCGGGGCGGGGGGCGTCGAGGAAAAGAACTCGGTTCTGCCCGTCTCTCCCGGCCACCGGGGCGTCTCTTCTCCCCAGCTCGCTCGCTAGCCAGGGCGGTTAGCCCGGCTGCCCGCCGCACTCGCCGGCTCTGGCGCGCTCCTTCTCGGGCCCGGGGCGCAGCGCGCTTCTGCGAGCTCCGGGCCAAAAAAAAAAAAAAAGCCAACCCCGCAAAGCAAAACAACCGAAAAACGAGCTCCGCCGCCCCCGCAGCACCCTCAGTTTCCAAAAAGCTGAAATCGCCGAATTCGTAGTCGCCGGGCGAAGACCTCGCATCTCTGGCATGGGCTTTCCAGAAAGCGCCGTGGCCCTCGAGTGAATAATACATAAGGGTGGCCCGGGAGCCTCGCAGAGGCTCTTGTCGCCGCGGCAGCAGCAGCGGGAGACGGCGGCGAGCTCTGGCCAGACTGCCGGGCTGCCGCCGCGGGTGGGGGCATCTGGGCAGCTCCGGGGAAGCGCGCGGGTCCCTGACCAGGCGCGGAGCTACGGAAGGCGGAGGGGCGGGGGACGGCCCAGGGGCGTGAAGTTCGAGGTTCGGGGTGAGGCAGCTGGGAAAGGGGGGGCCCCGCTGTGAGTAGAAACTTGGAGGAACTGCCGGGGTGGTCGGGCGAGCGCTGGGTTTGGGTAGCTCGAGGGGGGCCCCGCTGCTCGAGGCCGGCGCTGGGTGCTTTCTCCAGGCCACCCTGCCTTGTCTGGTGGGGTTCGGGTGCTCTCCATTCATTCGTGAGCTGGCTCCGGATTTGCCGAGAGCCAACGACCCCTCCGGCTCCGCAAACTCCAGGTCTCCAGGAGCGGGCGTCCGGGTACCTGCGTGTGTGTGTGTGTGTGCACGTATGTGTGTGTGTGTGTGCGCGCGCGCGCGTATGTGTGTGTGCGCGTGCGTGTGTGTGTGTGATTGTCGATGAGTCAGAAACCAATCCCAGCTGGTCTTTGAGGACCGAGAGGTGTAGGAAAGGCTTGAGCCACAGTGCATCCCGCACAAGCCCGGCCGGGACTCGGGATTCCTCGGCCGCGCCGCGCCTTCCCCGCCCCCCACCCCGCCTCCTGCAGTCCTGGAGTCAGATGCATTAGGATAAGTTTCCAGACGCGTACCTCCGACCTGCACCTCCCGGCCGAGAAAGTCAGGCACTTGGTTTTTCTCCCAAGGAAGAGAGAAAGGAGACTTGGGTGTAGGGAAGCTCAGAGTGATACAGCTTTACGCGATGGGAGGTTTGGCAACATTTTTCACGAGCTAGGAAGCAAGTGGTTTGAGAGCGCAGCAAAGGGCTACGGCCGGATTTTGCAAGACAGGCAATCACGTGCAAACTCCTTGGAAACCGAAGGAGGTGGGCGAGAGGGGGTGGTGGTGCGGGGCAGGATTGGAGTAAAAGAAGGAGAGAACCAGAGAAGGGGCGGGGGTGGCGTTTTAAAAAGAAAAGAGGAAAACTATCGGTCTCTTCGGGTGAAGTTAGTTTAACTTAATTTGGAAAAACCTTTTCCCAAAAGGCAAGATCTTTCTTCTGGAAAGGGAAACTCACGTTGCTAAGAAAATCGGAAAGAATTTCTGACAAAGCAGCTGCTTTGTGCAGGGTGATTAGCTCGCGGGCCGGTACTGGGTGGCGCGCTACCCTTAGTGCAGTGAACTGCACGGTGGAGAAAGGGAGGTTATCGGAAATATTGATTGCTTCTTCCAGTGGTGCGGTATGAACTTTAAGATAAAGTACAGAAACAAATGAGAGAGGTACGTCATTAGAGAAAGGTGCCCTCAAAGTGCTACGGAGGCTTTAATATCTGGTGGTAGGGGCAGTTATTCAGGCAGTGCGTCCTACCAGGATTTGCGGCTTCTACCGTGGCCCTATCACCGTTTTCAGGGATGAAGAATATATAGGTATAAGGACCTAGTCTCTTATTGATCGCTAGTTTGCATTTTCAGCATTGGAACATGGGCAGAGGGCTATGAAACCTACTCCTGAACTGTACCTTCGGAGAAAAAGGATTAATTAAACAAAGACAACCCTAACTCCTATCTTGGACTCTAGGCAGGACTGCTAGGGGGAGGCGTGGGCCAAATTTGAAAGAGTGAGACTTATTCATGATTTTTACCTGAATTGCTGCCAAAAGGCTTACAAATCCTCCATTACCTAAAAATAGCAATGGTCTTCAAATATAATTTGTTTACTACACCTCAATTAAACATAAAACCCTGTTCCTAGTGTTAGAAAGTGCTTATGAAGGTAAGGGTTCACTGTACTAAAAAAAAAAGTCAAGCTTTTTATTTCTAGATCAATATGATATGCTCTCAACATTTAATACCATGTAAAAGGAGCCTTTTTACAACATCAATAGCAGGCAGGCATGTCTCCCTAAGAAGCTCTTTTCCTGGAATTACAAGGCATTTTGATTGCTTTCATTTTCACAAGAAACATGATTATGACACCTCTGGTTATGAACAAGCAAGTGAAAAAAATAATGAAGATGGGGGTTCTTCATATAGAGACCTGGAAATTTGGGAACAATTGGGGTGTTTATTCATGACTAAACACAAAAACCCAAACCCAGAAAACCCAAACACGAATCACTGCTGACTGGAAGGTTTTTACTTATCCTGTGAGATTTTGTTATTAAAGCAGGGGGAGGCTGGGTTGGGGTGAATTTTTTGGAGAGAGCCCAATGTGTATTAGAGCCGAAACTGCATCTGTTACCATTTAAAAACTGGGAAATTCCATCTTATATCTGAAGAGACCATGTTGCAGAAATTTTGCACCCACTTGCCAACGTGCAAAACATACCATAGTGAGAGTGGGGGCGGGGAAGCATCTGCTTAGGTGGAATTTATTTCTTCAATTAGAATGAAAACCCCAATTAAAGTGTGTATGTGAAATGTCTCTGATTTGGCTCAGTGTAGCAGACAACAGACCATTCTTTAATTTACAGTTTCACGCCTAGGGATGGCAGTAGTGCAAGCTTCAAGAACCCAACTCTATCTTTCTAGGTTGTGCTTTTTCAACCTGCAAGTCTCTCCCATGGTTGTTCAAGCTTTCCAACTCCATCATGAAGCTGACCGTGCACTGGTCGGTCCTGCTGGCAGCTTGGACCTGGGTCACCTTCTTTAGCTGTCCTGCTATAAGCCCAGATTGAAACAGTCCAGGTCTATTATGATATCGAAGCAATCAACTGAAAGTGAAAAATGAAGCCAATTAGCTAACTGCTTGGGTGTCCACAAGGGCAGACATCTGACTTTATTCACCCGATTGACCACTTCTTTAGCTCTGGGTTAGCTTAAACCTGAGTTTGCAAAAAAGCATCATCACCAGCAGACTTGACTGTGCTTTTTAACTTTTCTTTCTCTCCTGTCCCCTCCCCCCACCACTCCTTCAAATTGCCAGACTAGAAATAGAAAATGGCATCCTTATAAGGACACACACTATCTTCTCAGAGTAGAGAGTGACTGTTTTGAATTCAGCCCTGGACTTTTGTTAGCCAAGACCTGTAATTCTTTATACTCATTCTATCTTTTCAAGCAGGATAGATGTTTCAGTGCAAAATCATTTATGGATTTGGGTAAGTTGTTGAATGTCTGTTTTTTTGGTGGGGGAGGCTGCTTGGCACTCTTTCCGTGAATATGGATAGCTGAAGCAGAAGCTGTCCACTGAGGAACATTTCTTTTTTTTTTTTTTAGGAACATTTCTTTTATCCAGTCCATGTACTATAAAGAACTCAATATTTCCATCCCCCCCTTTTCTGGGTATTTCTTAATTCCTGAAGTGATAACACAG